GGGAAGCCAACGGGAACACGCCACGTGGACCCCACCTACAACGGTCATATTCCAACGGTCATATCTCCAACGGCTATACTCCAAACGGACACCCCGCAACATTGCCTTCAGCTGGTACCCTTCGGGCAAAACAACGACCATGCCTCCGGGCTCACACGTTCCAGGTCACCTCATCGAGAAGTAAACTCCCCTCACCAAGGAACCCCTTGGGTACTTTTAACACTCAAAATATTGAGAACCATGTAACCCCTCTGACAACAAATGTGCATGCCTTCGGGCTAACACCTTCAAACCCCTTATCAATGGTTAGCCTCCGACATAAGATAATGGGACCCCTCGGGAGCGCTCAGCCTCCAACTTATCAAGAACTAGGGAGCCCCCTCGGCAACGCAGGAGCTATCACAAATGTCAAACACGCCCTCAGCCCCAATGACTGAGGGACTCCCCTCGGTATCACCACGATATCAAAGGGTGCCTTCAACAAATGAACAAGCGAGCCCCCAGATCACGGGTAGCCTTCAGCCTCTACACTGCACTCAGACCAAGGGTTAACCTTTTCGATTCACCATTGGGGGAACTCGGTGCACTCTTTTTCCCTCATTAGAATTTTTTCCCACAGGGTTTTTTCTAATGAGGTTTTTAACGAGGCATCCCCCCAAAATGAAACGAAAAGAGTCAAACCATTGGCCCTATGCTAAAAGTAGGCAAGGATCTACTCCTCTTCAACACATTGCATGTGCCTCAAGGAATGGGGGACTGGAGAACCCCTCCGGGAAAATCACAAAATGCTAAAAATTCTCACAAAGCATCAACATCCTTCAGTCCCAAAATGTGGGGGACTGAAGGACTGCCCTCAGCAAACTTGTGTGCAAACGCAAATCTCTCACAGGTTTACAAACTACAAAGCAAACACCGGCACCAACACAATTACTCCTTTTCCCTCAAGTACCTTTCGGAAAAAGGAGTGTGGGACTCCTGATGTAGTATATGGCCCAGGGACCCCCGACCCACATACTTCCACTACTGCAAACAGGCCTAACAGACCCAAGCGGGCCAAGCCCAGCAAGACAAAGCTCTAAGAAACCCACCATACGCACATGGGAGTGCCTTCGGCCCCGTGGCTGAAGGCTACCAGAGATAGAATCGGGCTCAGAAACATCACAGGAGAACAAGGTTTAAAAACCAAGCCTTCGGCACTAGCAACCCTCGGTACTAGGAGGCCCCCGGTACGAAGAGCCTTCGGTCTGTCATCTATAGCCGAAGGCATCCTCATCGACAGAATATCCTCTCCAATGCGCCTGAATCGTCGTATCAAGTACAACGTCACATCCAACCACCGCATTTAATGCGGCCACATGCGAATGCCGGTGCCACCCCAAATGAGATGACCCTCGGCCTTCGGATGCTTGACACGTGTCCCTATCTAGCATTTATTGCTGCTATAAATAGCACCCCTTTCCCCATTTGTAAACCACGCTGAATTCATATCAAACACATATTCTCTCTCTTACTTATTTTGCTCTGACTTCTCTCTAAGTTACCCCCCGTAGTAACCCCTCGGATAAGCTACCCCCCGAGTACACTATCCATCAACTTGTACTATGTAAATGGTGAGGAGAGTGTTAATGAGAAAGAGCGGGTTTGGACGTTAGCCTAAAAAGTCCCGTGGTTTTCTCCCTTTTCGGGTTTCCACGTAAAAACAGAGCATTCCATACATATTATATCTATATCTATTAGTTTATGTTGGACTTAAACTCAACGGTTACCTTTTATGTGATTTTTTTCTAAAACGAGAGTACATTCAGGGTGGGTCTGCCCTTAGGTCAGGTGGGGCCTAGGCTCCCCTGGAATTAAATAAAACACATGACATACTACATATGCTTGAAAAATGATTTGGATAATGTATCTATTTATAAAATTCAAAATTGGATATGACTCATTCACCAAAATTGTAGATAATGATATTTCCGATCCACCACAATTTGAATCATTGAATTATGAAAAGATATAATTGAAATGGTGAAATGTGTTTATCCTGACATTTCAATAGCGACTATCTGCCTGATGCATCTAATTTCACCTTGATCCTCTCATATTTTAGTCATGATGTATTCACAAGATTTGTAGCTACTTGAATTATCTCTCTCATGAGACTTGAATGATGTTATTTAGATTTGTCTATAAAAGATATGTTCAAATCATTCATAGAAGGTTATCCTGACTCAAGACTGTGAGTTAAGTTGCTGTCCAAAAAGCCATTTTTTGTACTCTAACTCTCATTCTTCACCTATAAACTCCATCTTGAGTTATTTTTCATACCGAACTTGATAAAACCCCTTCTAAAATAAAAACTCATGCAAAATGATAAATCAATTCCATATATTTGGTGAGCACGGTCCCCTCAGCAAATTAGATTTATCAATTGATCAATTCTTATTAAGTAATCAATAATTAATAATAACACTTTCTATCTACTTTGTACATTATTTGAGGTGTAAGGACATGAATTGATGTTTTTTCACTCACATGTTTTCTGTTGTTACTCGTGTCATGAGGGCCATCCGTAAAAGTAAGAGTATAATATTAGCATATATTTTGAAAAAATGCTAGGGGTACACCTTTGTAATCTATATAAGGGTCCTTTTTAACCACCTGTCCTCTCTTTTTCTCTATCACACGAATACGTTTTTGGCACACCCTATATAACGGTCCATTTTTACTCCCCCTCCCTCTCTTTTTCTTTATCACACGAACACTTCTAGTTTCTTTCTTTCTTTCTTTCTTTCTTTCTTTCTTCCTCTCTCTCTCTCTCTCTCTCTCTCTCTCTGTCTCTCTCTCTCTCTCTCTCTCTCTCTCTCTCTCTTTCTCTCTTTCATTCTCTCTTTCTTTCTCTCTTTCTTTCTCTCTTTCTTTCTTTCTTTCTTTCTTTCTTTCTCCCTTTCTTTCTCCCTTTCTTTCTCTCTTTCTTTCTTTCTCCCTTTCTTTCTTTCTCCCTTTCTTTCTTTCTCCCTTCTTTCTTTCTCCCTTTCTTTCTTTCTTTCTCCCTTTCTTTCTTTCTCCCTTTCTTTCTTTCTCCCTTCCTTTCTTTCTTTCTTTCTTTCTTTCTTTCTTTCTTTCTTTCATTCTTTCTTTCTCCCTTTCTTTCTCCCTTTCTTTCTCCCTTTCTTTCTCCCTTCCTTTCTCCCTTCCATTCTCCCTTTCTTTCTCCCATTGTCAAAGTTTCACATACACGTTTTTATTTATTTAATGAAATACCTCTCTCTCCCTCCCATCATCATATTCACCATCATCTTCACAACCTTCACCTTTTTTGTCAATGCATCGGGAGAAACAAATAAAATTTGAGAGTCGCCTGAAAGTCACCGGAAAACTAAACCTGAACAACCATTCACATAGTTGTCTTATTTGTGCCGTCTACAAAATATTTTATAAAGTTGCTCCACAGACAAAAACATATGTATACAGACATTGGTTTCATGACATTCACATCGATTTTTTGGTTGTGCACAAACACAAGTTGTCTGTATACATACATTAACTATCTACAGTAGACAAAAAATGTTACTCATAGACAAAACTGTATATGTACAACATTTTTTGTCTGTATATAGACAACTAATGTCAGTATATAGATAATTAACGTCTATGCACGAACATGAATTTATGCGCAACCAAACATTGACGTTTCTGCAAAAAAGGCATGCAAGTCAATGTGGTTTGCACGCAAATTGATGTCTGTATACAAACATTAGTATTCTATACTCAAATAAAGATGTATAGGAATTAATATTATTTTATGATTTTTGTGAAACAAGTGCTAATTAAGAAGTGAGCACACAAACCTTCAAATAAATAAAGTATTTCTAAATCATAGTTAGGGGCATTTAAATGATTTTAAGATTTTTAAAAAAGCATTGTAGTAATAATAATTTAAAAGTGTAGACTGACAAATGCAAGAATCATACTAGTATAATTTATATGTGTAGTATATCTAACCAATTAATGAGCAAATTGTGAAATCTATAAATTAATAAGTGTCCAAGAATAATGGGCAACAACTACTTTAGATAAAAAGGATAAAGTTGGTGATGTGATAAGTTATTCCTAAAGGCATAATCGAGTGAGAGAGATTGTTCTTCATAACAACTTGTGATAAAATGGGAGTCAATATTGTTTTGAGATTTTTTATGAAACTAGAGTTAAGAAGTGAGCGCGAAGGGTTTAAAAATATAATTATTTGAAAATGATTGTTGGGGGTCATTTGAGTGATTTTGAGATTACCAAAATCACTATCTAGTAATAATAATTTAAGTGTAGAGCTTCTGATTAATGCATGAATAATTTATAAATGGTGGGGGGCACGGTTAATTCGTCTTTTGGAACAATTTCTATTTAAAGATTGGTGATATTAAAGCATGCACGCGTATTGATTTTGTGTGGATTGTACCTAATTTAATAACCAAACAACTCTAGACATAAATTTGTCCAATTAAATTAAGTAATTAAATCTTGCAGCATAAGTTTTGAGATGTCATGTAACAAGTGTGTTATGGTTCTACATCCAAATTTAGATATAATGATGGTTCAAAAGTAACCAAAATCGTGACACGACTCAATTAAGTTTTTCTCAAGCACCATCAATCCCGAAAAAGGGAAGCAAACTTTATTAACCATCAAACATTGTGCGTGTTTCAGTGTATGCATTCTACCATGAAAAACAAGGTATCGTGCCGTAAGGCATATGATAACTTATTATATTCTGAAGAACATCAGGATCACCCAGTGTTAGCATAAATAACAAATAAAATTATTGTCAAATAACATATCTGATCGTGATATACTAACGTGATGCTTAAGAGTTTATCTCGACTTGATACAACTATATAATAATACTTTCTACTTGTCTTATTAGAATGAAACACCAAAATCTTAATATATAATGCCACATATTTCATCTATGTACTACCTAATTATTTTCCTGTTATGGAGAAGTTAAGATTGTTTTATATTTTCCTTTTCGCACATTTTAAATTCACCATACCGCAAGAACCTCCTCTAGCACCGGCCTTGTACGTTTTCGGAGATTCATTGCTCGACAGCGGAAACAACAATCTTCTCCCGACATTTGCTAAATCAAACTACTTTCCTTATGGGGCCGATTTTGCGGGCGGAGCCACTGGAAGATTCACAAATGGGAAAACAGTGGCTGATTTCATAGCTGAGTTTCTTGGTTTGCCATTTCCTCCTCCTTACTTGAGTTTGCAAAGATCAATGCTCATCACTGGGATGAACTATGCATCTGGATCGTGTGGTATTTTGCGTGAAACTGGCAATGATTTTGTGAGTAATCCAATTGATTTTATTAATTTATAGCAAGTTTTTGGCTAAACAACTTTGTAACTTGACCAGAACTTCATTTTGTGTACTATTTGGCTGAACGATGCAAGTGCTAAATCAGAAACTAAGGTTATAATAACTTCTTGATTTTAACGTTATGTATTTTGTTATATTTGGAGTTTGGACCTGTACAACTTCAAATCAATCATTTTTTACAAAAATACATATAGTATAAAAGTTGAACAGTTTTAGCATTTTTAAATAAACAAAGTTCCAACACCGAATCATATTAGAAAAAGAGAAGTATTTTGACTAATATAGCATATGCAATAGCATGTATGCATAATTGCATACCATCAAACATTTTCTTTTTCTTATTTTGACCCATATGTGCTTGGTCACATATTGAAAAATAATTGTGATGATAATACCTTCAAAATTATTATTAGTTTAGTTTTATACATGCATTTTAGCCACTTGCGTGTTTTGAAATGCGACAGACTTCATAGCCTAACCATATGTGTCTAGTAGTTTCTTGATTTTAGCATTTTTCTTTTTCTTTTGTTATCTTTAGATCTAAATGTCACTAATCATTTTATTTTTTTCTTTCCAATGTTTTGCAAACCAAATATATATAAAAACTTAGTACCCCTCCATCCCTTTTTAGTCATTACACAATATATAACAACTTTTCAAACATGATTTAAAGAACTTTTTAACCAGAAACGTCTCCATGCAATAAATTGAAATCATATTTCAATATTTCATATGCAATATTTGTACTGTGGAAAAGAGTTCGGATGATGAAAGAACACTTAAGTGTTATGTGCTTAGAGGTCTCTAATGCTATTATTACCCTTTATGTTTAAGAAATTTCCCAATACGAATACAAGCATTTGTGAATTCAAAATAGAACCGACATGTTTTTATTCTTTAGATAAGAAATTAGTGTCATGTTTGGCATTACCAAACTTTAAACATGACAATAATATTTGACTATTTTCCAAGTTTAGCAGCAATACTCCTATTTAGGGAATAAAAAGTGACAATCTATTTTGAAATTGCAAAACGTTTTTACTCATATTAAGAGAACTTTCTTTTTATGTACACAATTGGACAAGTTAAGATTCCAGACCAGACCAAACTTAAACAACCCAAACCAAAGCAGATGAGATCAAAAAATTTGAATCTCAAAATGTCATTTTGGTTCAAACATTGATTTGGAATTGATGCATTTTTTGGCATTACTTGGAGTCAATAAAATAAATTTAAATGAATGCTTTGGAATTGATGATATTTTTTATTGGATTCAAAACATATTTAATTAATCTATGACTACACTTTATTCAAACATCAGAGTCAAATGAATGCTATTTTCACATTTCTGGGCGGGTAAGTAGGCGCTCTAAGTGACCGACTAATTCACCTAGGCGCCAAACTAATTATTCGGGACGCTTAGACTAAAACTGAGACGTCCGACCACCGCCTAACACCTAGGTGGGGACTAGTCGGGTGCCTAGAGGAATTTTTAGAAAGGGGGTTTAAACTGTTGAATATTCCATTCAATTGTTCCTGAGTCATATTCTGTTTGGAATTTAAGGACTCAGCATGATATCATTTTTTTCTTGTAAGTGCAAAAATTTGAGCTTGAAAAATAGGCACTTGTAAGACCATTTGTAGTGGGGAGAGATTAGAAGTCCAAACTGTTAAATTTGGAGATTTTAAACTTCTTATTAGGTGTAGTGGAGGATTAAAAGGGGGTTAAAAGTGGGAAATGGGTGAAGGATTTTAAATTTGGAGGGGGGGTTGAGAGGGAAAAAAGGAAAAAGCAAAAAAGAAAAAAGAAGGAGCGGTGTGGCAAAGGAATGCGTGGATGACGTCATCCCCGCATAATTAAAATCCCATTTTTTAAAACTCTTGTAACTTTTTTATTTGTTCTCTAATTTTTTCAAAAAGTATATCAAAATTTATGAGTTTTTATAATGTTGCATATGACATCAATATTACATATATAAAGTGAAAAAGAATCTGAAGTTTTAGTTATTGGAGTTTTCTTTTGCCCCAGAAACATGAAACACAAATTTTTAGTTCATGAAGCCTTCATAAGTAACTCAATATTACATGATCTCATTTTTTATGAAAGTTGAAAAAAGAAAAAAAAAACGATTTTTTTTTATTTTTTAACATCGAAATCTGTATTTTTTTAATTTCATAAATATTCATACAAAAACATTCCTTATAATAATTTAATTAATGTTTTAATAAATGGAAAAATTGATTGTAATAATCCCAACTATTGGCGGTCCTCTCATAATAATCCCAACTATCGATTATTTCAGAATAATCCCAATTTTAGGGACCTTCCGCCAATAATGGTCCAATGTAACCGACTATAAATAAATTCCTATAGTTTCTAAAGAGATATAGCAGGTAATTCCTATAAATAATCCCATTTAGAGCATGTAATATGCGGTCATGGACCATTATTGTCGGACGGTCCATATAGTTGGGATTATACAAAAATAATCAATAGTTGGGATTATTGTTAGCGGACCGACAATAATAAATATAATTGATATGTAAAAAAATATGTTGAGTGTATTTTATTGACGATAATGGAGTGCAGGGAAAAACGATATTGATGGAGTACTCTAAACACTGTTTTCATATCGACCGAGTCCATATTTAACATTTTAGACTCCTTATCACACTATAAATGGTCTAAATATTGAGCAGATATGGCACATTTACACTCCATGATTGCAAATCCAGCATTTTCACCTTGGCTAAGTTATCATTTATCCCATCAACACTATCTTAAGAATTTTGAGCACCCACATCATCATCATTCATCATGTTATGAAGAGCTTCTTGAACAAAGAAGCTAGTTTTGAATTCATACAATAGCTAATAACCATACATTTAAAGCTAAACTCTGGGACGGAGGTATGCATAGTGTTAGGGGGGGGGGGGGGGGGGGCTTGGCCCCTCCCAACTTTTCAATTTTTTTATGGAAAAATTGATTGTAATAATCCCAACTATTGGCGGTCCGCTTATAATAATCCCAACTATCGATTATCTCAGAATAATCCCAACTATAGTGACCCTCCGCCAATAATGGTCCATAACCAGATATGACCTGCTATGACAAGTGAATTTTAAATAGAAATAAAGCGTAAAAATTAAAAGTTGAATTATTTATAGGGATTACTTGTTATATCTCTTCTCATCCACCCTAGAAACTATAGCAATTTATTTATAGGCGGTCATGTCGGACCATTATCGGCGGAAGGTCACTAAAGTTGGGATTATTCTTAGATAATCGATAGTTGGGAACTTGGGATTATTATAAGCGGAACGCCAATAGTTGGGATTATTACAATCAATTTTTCCTTTTTTTATAATTTTAGTAATAGTGTTCCCCATTTTGTGCTTTGAAATTTTAATTCCTTTAGTTAATTTTTGTTTTCTGGTACTTTGGAATAAGTCATCCACTTATATACTATTCTATTACATTAAAGTGATGAAATATATACAACGAACTACTTATGAATAATATATACAGAGTATAAGTTTATTTTATTACTTTATTTCCTTTTAATTAAGTAGATACAATTATTCATCTTATAAAAGAAAGATTTTGCAAAGTTGAACAAGTCATTATAATGTTTTGAGTTTTTCAATCGTCTTACAAAATCTCGAAGAATATATTCAACTACACAACACATTTTAATACAATGTGTTTCTGTATTTGTACGTTACATTTGATAACTTGTTATACATAGTACATTTTGCCCCCCCTCCAATAAAATCCTGGCTCTGTCCCTGGCTAAACTAAATATTAATTACGTATAGATCTATCAAAAATATTTTGTCAAGAATTTGACAACATTCAAGGAAAGAGATAGTGAGACCATGCCAATCCACTAACTATTTCATAATAAAATCATTTGATAAAGTTTTTTTATTAACTATATATTGTGATTTAGTGTAACTCTAAAGGTGAGTGACTCTCACCCAAATGTGTTCATAGTGCATATTTTCACTACAAGTTTGCATAACAATAAAAAGTAAAACTTTACATCTTAATCGATATTATATAGCTCAAACATTATAATTGTCAAACACAATGCTAGGTAAAGCTTTTCCGCTACATAAATAAGACTCTCCAATTAGAAACATTTTCTCTATTAAAGCTCTAAATTATGCAACTCTTCATGCCAACATTCATGTGTCCGGTTCGTTATTACTTATTATATGAGTATACATATGATCACATGATCATGATTTGAGTTAAATATAATTAGTACTCAATATCAGACTTCATGTTGTTGAAACACTTTAGACAAACAATACTCACGGAAAATGAGAAATTAAAAAGTTAAAGTATATTTCTGCAATTGTAGTTGCTGTAGAATTGATGATGGTACCATCTTTTCGGGTTCGAGATGTAATAAATACTTTTACTTGTGTTGGTAAGGTACTACTACGTATTATTTTTTGCAGCATACGATCATTAAATCATGTAAAAATTTGATCACCACAATTAGTTTGAAAAACAAACTTTTTTTCCCTGAAAATTTGTAAAACAAACTATGATACCTCTTCTTTAGCAAGTCTAGCAAAAGACTTTGATCTGGTAATGTAATGCTCTTGATTCTTTAATTGACTCTCTTTCTTTACTTTGGACATTGCCTAATAATTTTTAATAACAAATATAAAAATAATCATCAAGAACTAAGTGAAAGTAATATCTAACGTTATTTTTGACCTTTCTTGATCAATGATAGCAAACTTTAAACAATACTTTTAATAATTATATTCATTTGATTAATAAATTGTATACTATGGACTAATAATTATGAAAATATTTTTAAGAAAAAATATTTCCATATAACTTTCATACTATAAATAATTTTATATTAATAAGGCTTAAATATGGTTTTAGTCCATGCAATATGACACACTTTGTTTTAGGTCCCTGTAATTTTTTGTTTTGTTTTTCATCCGTCTAATATGCACTATTTTGTTTTCAGTTCATCTCTATTTCTGAAATCATTCTACTTGGAAATGTTTAATATGATACTAATGTGAGAGTTAAAGCAATGTAAAGCTAATTATTTACATTTAAAAATATATATTAATAACTTTCTAAAAATCAAAATTAAATACTTTTGTGAATAACATGATAAAAATTAGATAAAACCTATTAGTTGAGGTTACTTTTAGGTCAAACGGAGGTTGTCATCATCGGTGATGGAGTAGTATAAAGAAAATCAACATAAATTTCTGGGAAGAAAAAAACTATAAGGATGTAAAACAAAATGTACTATATTTGCAGGGACTAAAAACATTAATAAAAGTATACCATGTTCAATCTTAACCATCACCGATAAAACCCAATATGGCCAAATTTTGTGGGAAAGAAGGAGTACTAATCAAAATCAATGTCTAAAGTTTATCATCATTGAATAGAAAACTCAAATATAAAGATGACAAAGTTTCAAGGGGTGAATGTACGTAGTAAAATATTAGCATACACATGGCATGTACTGCAGGGAAAGTGTTTGAGTATATCGGAACAAGTTAACATGTTCAACCAAACCATGGGGAGGCAACTATCAAGGTACTACAAGAGCCCAAAGGAGCTTTCAGATTACTTGTCAAACTCCATTTTCCTCATTGCTATAGGGAGTAACGATTACATCAACAACTACCTTCTTCCTAGCATTTATGATACCAGTAGAAGTCACACTCCTGAAAACTTTGCTGAACTTCTTGTCAACACACTCTCAATTCAATTCCAGGTAACTTAAAGTGCACCTTTTTAATCCAGTCTGGTCTTGTTTGGTAGTTTTCATGATAAAATTTTATTGCATAGAAATTTTAGGGAAACAATCAATTCATTTAAAATAAAAAATTGTTTGAATAAGTATGTAATTTATTTTTAAAGTACACGCAACGTAATTGCAATGCTTTATTTGAAACCATGAAAAATATTCTACTAACCTCCCCCACGTAAAATCCTTACATGGTACAATGCAACAATTTAAATAACTATTTTACATCATACAAAACACTCTCCTATATGGGGATGAAAGGTGTAACTTTGTGTTCAATAACCCCGCGGTAAGCAGAAGCTGTATGGATTAGGAGCTAGAAAAATGGTGGTATTTGAGATTGGGCCGATTGGTTGCCTTCCCTTGTTTAAGCGCCGAAATGAAGAATGTGTTGACGAGTACAACCAGCTTGTAGTGATGTTTAATGAGCAGCTTGAAGCCATGTTGAAAAACTTGAGCACAACTCTCCAGGACTCCCAATTTATACTCGGTCGTGCTCACTGGCTTGGCTATGATGCCGTCAAAACTCCTACTACATACGGTAAATATAAATTAATCTCAGTTCTTGTATTACATATTTGTGTGTGAATGAAAAACGATAACATGTAGTTATATTCATTTCGTTTTAAGATAAGAAATTGAGGCTTATTTATAATGAGCATATACTTTTGAGCTTTGACACATTTTTTTGATATAATAAATTAAATGGTATGAAGTATATATCTTCAAATTGCTATACAAATAAGAGCTATCTAATCAAACCACTTAAAACAATTGATAAGTTTGAGTGAAATGATTGAAGTGATTGAATTTAATAAAATTGCGATTTGCGAGTCATGTTACTACACTAACCCAAGTGCATTTAAAATTTTCAAATGTACATTTGTATTATACCTTCTCAACAAAATAAAATAATAACGTTAGGCAAGTCATTTTTGTTCATTTCAACTATTCCAACAAAATGGGAAACTGATTTTAATATATATATACTTTGAAACTAATATTTTTAGTTACACTATTTTAGTCCCAGACCAGATTAGATCAAAACATATTATACCCGACTTAAACAAATCAGACTAGACCAATCCAAATTTTAACAGTTATAAAATACACATAGACCAAACTTCTATCAGATCACTTCAAACTAGGTCAGACATGACTAGATCAGAAAATTTCATTCCAATTAAAAACATTCTAACTAGTTTATGGTTTGAGCCTTTAGTGGGAACATGATTTTAGAAGTCATTGCATCTTATAGTTTCTTTGAACTAATGACTTTTGAGTTCACATTTATAGGTTTGACAGATCCAAGCAACCCTTGTTGTGTAACGTGGAGGCAGGGGGCTTCAGGATGCATACCAGAAATGAAGCCGTGCCCTGATGTCGACAAACACTATTTCTGGGATGCCTATCATGCTACTGAAGCTTTTTATAGGACCGTTGCAATGATGTGTATCAATGGTACATCTGTTTGCCTTCCAAAGAACATAAATGATCTTGTCCGTTCCTGAAACTCACTCTCCTCCAATGTTTTTCAATCAAAAGACCGAAAGTTATTGCATGTATAGTATAAATGTGAATGTGTTTTCATATATTTATACATAGGAGAATATGTATTAGTTGAATCAATGAATTGAACTTGCTTCCCATTCTAAGAGATCTGTGGACCATTCATCTTTTATCTCCTCCCAGATGAGTGACAATGGTTAACTAGGAGAGCATTCAAAGCTTTCTCTTGACAATATTCAAAGAGACAGAAAGTACATCAACAACATCCTACTTCTAGAAAGTATATAGAAACTATTTCTGGGTGACCTATGATGAAAACCACGTCAAAAATTACATGAACTGACTACTGCTTCATAACAAAGAAGCACAAACAATTTAGTGAACCATTTTGCTTTATTTCATCGTACTCCCAAACCAAAAAATAGTGAGCCTTTGGCTGCAATAGAAATGAGAAAAAATCACGTACAAAGTATTAAACATTGATCTACATAATTTCAAAACTAATTAATTCACTCCAATGCCTCAAACACTAGAATTTTAGATTTTGGAATCTCTCATAATCAATTAGGTACTCTCCCTAATATGTAAGAACACAATAGAACACAATGCTTAATTAATATTCAAATTACAATCCAATACAAGAATTGACATCATCGACCAGGAAAATGTACTCGTGCACACTGATGAATACTACACACTAGGTAGTTGTTTTTAACTGAAAAATGACCAATAAATCAAACATCAAACTTTGATTGTTGAATTATTGCCAATGGAGTACTTCTCTTAAAAATCTTTGATTTTGTCTAATCGATTGTGAGAGCTTAGAAAGTCAGATTAGATATGAAATTGGCCGCATGTCGGAAAGCTTCATCTTCCGGTGTTGTTACCGCGGCTTTGCTCCACCACAATCATTGTAACATATGTTATTATTTTTAACTATTATATTTTGTTTTACATCAAAGACTTTTAAGAGACCAAGATCATTAGAAATTTGTGATATTCTTTCTCATGCATGACCGAGTAGTTAATTACTCATTTAATCACTATTTATTTTTTGACAAAGTATAACAACAAAGACACCAAAACCCAATTCAAATAATTATTGTGAGACATGTTTGCTGTTGAATTTGATTTGAATTTTATTAAAAGCAAGGTAGAAAAAAAGAAGTGATAACTTTTACATTTGAAATGTGACTAATAGTTACTAACGTGCCACTTTTTTGAAAGTTCCAATTTTAATTAGCAAACAAGAAATCACCCTAAATAGGAGTAGAAATTAATGTTTGTGAATTTCAAAATCAGATTATTACATCTCCTAAATAGAATTAATTAATGTCATATTTGACATTATCGGATTTTAAGTATGGAAGCATTTTCCAATGTTGACAGTAATTACTCATATTTAAACAATGAAAAATAACTCATATTTTAGAATTTCAAAAAAAAACTCTTGTTTCAGGAATTTTCCCTTGACAAACTTTAAAAGTATATTAGTCCGAGTAATGGGACAAGCCTATCAGGCCTAATGCCTCTGAGTGTGTGATCATCCAACTTAAGATACCATTGATAGAGTCACTGCCTATGCAACCTCAGATTTAGTCTCATATTGCTTCCGAACCTAGCACTTGTAATTCTAACCTCGAGTGACACTCAAACATAAAATCGTCCATAGAGGTTGAGATCACCGTCATCCTATCATTTGATATCTTGATTTCATTGTCTCATCATTGGGAACCCGAGTGAAGTAGTGAACTGTCAACTCAACTGTTATCATATAAAATATAAAAAAAACTTTATAATTTTCGCATGTTATCAAGACATACTATTACACCATATACACCATAAAAGAGAAAATAATGGAAGACAAACATATTGGTAAATGACAAACTTATTTGAGCTTGTTAGATTGTTCATTTCCATTTTATAATGGCAGTTATTCTATAAAACTTTAATTCCGATAATACACATTCCCACAAAATAACAACTTAGTTGGTACAAAAATGCGCTGTGTACACGCCGGCTTACACGGAAGTGTACACAACATAAAAAGCCCCACCCCTCCATATTTGTAACCATATTAACCCCCACCCCTCTCCCCTTTATTCGAAAGCGAAAACGCCTGCACGGCTAACGAATTTTCTGTCCAATTTTTTTCATTTGTCTATCATCCCTTGTCTCTCTCAACTCGTACGTGAGATTGTCTTTGATTAGGAGCAGCATGGAAGCGAGTAAGACGTATGGCGGCGACGAAGAACTTGGCTTGGGCTGGACATGGGAGGATATATTCGGTCCGAGTCCCGGAGACACGCCATCTGTGATGGAAGCCTTTGAACATGTGACGGAGGGAGCAATGCAAGACCATGAAGACATGACGATGGGTGCGACGGAAGGAGTTGAATACACTCTGGTAGCTACCCAAGGCAATGAAGGGGCACCAGATGGGAAAGTTGTGGAGGCTGAGCAAGGTAGGTGCTTATGTAGCGTCGTTTCTTCATGGTTGTTATGTGGTTTGGTATTGAAGCTTAACAAACAATGTTTTTAACGCACAGACAATTTAGTATTGGCTGTATATGTAGGTAGACAACTAATTTGTTTGCGTGGAGACATTTATTGCCATAATTATGTATCTTTTGTTGTTATGAGTGTTCACACCTTATGAGAAGACATTATAAAGTTCATAGAGTGGTTTATGGGAAGACATTATAAAGTTCATATAGTGGTTTTATAATGTGATTATAATACTTTGTTTTGTCTGTATTTCAATTAATAATGTCTGTCATAATGTGTCCATTTCCATAGCACTGTCTGTATGTGCATAATATTGTTTGTATATAAATATTCTTAAATAACAGATGCAGGTGAACATAATAACAGAGAAGAAGTTAATGTGGTTGTTCTGGAAGTAGGCATGAAGTTTGATACCACAGACGAGGCGTTTGAGTTTTACAAAACGTATGGTAGAAGTTTAGGGTTTCCGATGAGAAAAAGAACATCAACAAAGGACAGAAACAAGGGCGAGGTAATGTCAATTGTAATAGAGTGTTCACGGGCGGGAAGAAGAGGTAGCAATGCACTAAACTGTTTGAAGCCTGAACCTTCAATGCAGACGTCTTGTTCGGCTAGAACTAGAGCACACACTACTTATGTTGGGTCATGGGAAATTTCAAAAGTGTATTTAAATCATAATCACCCCACGAGTCCCACAAAATCTAGGTTATTTTGTTGCAATAGGAAGTTGACACCACAAACGATGAGAAATCTTGAGATTGGTGAAGTTGCTGGAATACCACTTCACAAGAGTTTTAACTCCGTTGTTGTTCAAGCGGGGGGGGGGGGGGGGGGGGGGGGTACGATGATCTACCTTTTATTGAAAAGGATTGTAGGAAATACATTGAAAAAATTCTGGAGCTTTGACTAGGAAGTGGTGATGCATGCAATGGCTATGCAAGCATTTTTTTTCAAAAATGCAAGCACAATGTCCTGGTTTCTTCTTTAGTGTTGATTTAGATGATGAGTCACGCTTGAGAAATGTATATTTTGGACGAATAATAGAAGTAGGTATGCATACAAAAGTCTTGGAGATGTCATTACCTTTGACACAACCTATCTAACTAATCGCTATAACATGCCCTTTGCTCCATTTGTGGGAGTGAATCATCATGGCCAATCTATATTATTTGGATGTGGCCTAATCTCAAATGAAGATACACAAACTTTTGTTTGGCTCTTTAAAGCTTGGCTTAATTGCATAGAGGGTTGTGCTCCAAGTGGTATTATAACCGATCAAGAACGTGCCATGCAAAATGCAATTCAAAATGTACTCCCGGATACAAGGCACCGTTGGTGTTGTGGCACATCATGAAGAAGTTACCCGAAAAAATGGGTGGGCTTGCGGATAAAGATCACATCATGTTCAACATTCATGAACTAGTTTATGATTCACTGCACACTACAGAGTTTAAGGCTTGTTGGAAAGGTATGCTCCAAAGGCAGGGTTTAATGTATAGAAACATTAACCCTGCACATACATTTACATTTTAAGGTAGGGTTTTCACTTCAACATGACGAATGGCTGCTGGTTATGTACAAAGAACGTCATCATTGGGTCCCTTGTTACTTGAAACCTTATTTTTGGGCTGGTATGTCAACCACTCAACGAAGTGAAAGCATGAATGCCTTCTTTGATGCGTATGTTCATTCCAAAACTAGTCTTAAACAGTTTGTCGATCAATATGGACGTGCTTTAAGAAGTAAGGTTTTAAAAGAATTTCAAGCCGATGGTAATTCTTTGACTAAAATGATTCCATGTGTTACGTCGTTTGCAATTGAAAAACAAGTGCAACGTGTTTACACTCTAGCAAAGTTCAAGGAGTTCCAAACCGAATTAGTTGATCAATTGTATTGTAATGTCCTACCTAGCATTAATGGTAAGACATTTGTAGTGAAAGAGAATCGTGCCATCAATGGGTTTGATAAGAGTTGGAACTTCATTGTTGAGTATGATATTTCAACATCCAAAGAAATGTGTAGTTGCCACTTATTCGAGTTTTAAGGCATTCCGTGTAGACATTCCCTTATGGTGGTACTTCATTATGGAGTGAAAGTGTTGCCTGATTGTTACATATGTCAAGATGGTGAAGAGACATCAAAAAAGCTTACACACGAGTGAAAATTAACTACGATGATTGAATCACATGTTCTGAAAGACTGAAAATGATGACATCACATCTTGAGAACCTGCTGAATACGGAGTATATATCTAAATGATAAAATTAAATTTTAGTCGCAGACCAGATAGGTTCAAAGCTTAAATCTTGCTTTTAGGACCTCTTCCGACCAAGTGGATCATTGACAATAGGTTCGTTAAATTAGTTGGACACTTTCTCGACGTCGGGTTGCTCCTATCTAGGTTTCCACTGTTTATTCTCCGGTTAAACCCCGACGACCTTACTTGTTCCCGTTGCTTAATTGCTCCATTATGACGTCGTCATTCATGGGTCCTCCTTCTTCCAGAGGCTTTGCTACCACCGTTGAACCTCCGACAGTTCCAGAT